AGCTGACGTCACAACTGTCCTTACAGGCTGTGAGGTCCTTCCAGATCGCAATCCACCTGTGTCCATCAGAGACGAGCCTGTGGCAGGAAGACCTGAACTGGGCATGGACGTTACAGAAGCAGCAGGTAGCAACCAAAGAGAAGACGAGACAAGAGGAGGAGGCTAAAAACCAGATCCTTAACGCCCCCGAGCTCGAGCAGGACTATGACTTTGAGTCTGACGAAGTGCTGGCAGCCTGCGTGGCCGTTGCCGAGCGACAAACGCACTACGACGAGCTGAGGAGGACCACCGTGGTCATCGACGCTGAGGGGAACATACAAAAGGTAGTGAGCGGGGAGCAGGGATCAGAGGACGCAGCCGCACCGTCAGGGGAGCAGTTTGTCAAAGCAAGAGGACTGAGCATGAACTGATTTGTCTTTTGACAGTCGTGTGTTTTCCATTGTTTTAGCCAAGAAAACCAGTCTGAACCAGTCCTGTTTCTGTCTGCTAGAGGACACTTCTCCAGATCCTCGTGTGAGAAAAGGGATGTGAACAGTTTAAACTTTGTTTCATAGCAAACAAATAATTTGGACACAAATATTTTCATTGGAATAAATGATTTACCCAGTAGTTGATTATTTTAAAAAAAATAATTTTATACATTTTAAAGTAAATCAACTTTGTCTTTTAGTTTTAGTGTAAATGAAAACAGGACATCCATCAGTGGCTGGTTAATAATGACGTCTTCTTTCTGTGTTTGTAAACTAAAGGTCATGTCATCATGTAGGCACATCGTCTTTGCTGTGTTGTAAGGTGACATCATCACGAATGTGATTAAATGTTTGTTAAACTGCAAAATGTTGAGTAAAATCAGGTCAAGGTTCTAATTCAGGCTTGTTTAATTGTTTTGAGGTGTTTGTTTTTGCACTGGGACATGATTTTTTTTCAGCTTTTAGAATTGTAAAAAATTTTGTGGGGGGAGGGGCTATGTTTTATGTCAAAGAAATTATTCAGGTTTATTTTAAGTTGGCGACCCAAAAAGGAAGAAGCAGGTGAAGCTGATGGATGGATGGGTGGAAAGAAGGCAAGAAATCTGACAATGGTCCAGTTCCAAGATAGAAAACCAGTAGGGATGCACGATATTATCGGCATGGTATCGGTATCGGCCGATATTAGTGTTAAAGTTCAATATCGGACATCGGCCATTCCATTAAAATAACTCACCGATATAAAAGACTTGTGTTTTTGTATGACAACCCAGTGACAAGGATGCCTGCAGTGGCAGCGCATCGTGATGACGTCACACACGCCTACTCACGGCGGAGAGGAAAATTCAAAATGTCGGCGGTGTGGAAGGGTTTTTTTCGTTGAGGATGTCTGATTCTGAAGATTTATGGACTACATGGAGCCTCGTTACATCACCCCCAGTCGGAGATATTTTTCTGACGTAACCTTACCCGAGCTACAAGCCGTGATTTCCAATGTCATTGAGAAGCTAATAGCCGATAGCACAACTTGGGTGAGTTTTACCACAGATATTTGGACGTCGTGTTAGCCCCGTTAGCATGATTAGTCTTACGGCACAATGGATAGACAAAAACTTTGAATTTAAAAAGTCTGTCCTTCATGCACAAGAGTGCAGAGGATCCCACACTGCAGCTATAGGAACCTGGAACAAGCCTCCACAAGTGAGACAGCATTGCAGGTGACTAATGCTAATAAATAACATTTAACACTTTTCATTTAATATAAGTTCAAGTGCTATGCATATCATATGGCTGTTACTGAATATATGTCACCAGCTCACTGCTGTTACACAATTTTTGTAGCAAATAAACCTAAATAAGAGGAATATGTTCAGACAAAGGAAAACATAAAATATCTGTATCGGATATCGGCAAAAATTGATATTGTGCATCCCTAAAAACCAGTAAGATA